GTGAGACTGACGGAGGGCTGGGATTCTAATTTGTCCTTAGAGCTCATGCCTTTTCTCTATATCACGCCCACCTCCCACTTCCTAATCCCACTTTTCAAAGCTTTTATCAGTAAGAAGACTATTATGAACCAACATCTGAATATCCCAGCAAGGTAAATGTAGAATGGTCCCTAACCGTGCAGCTCTAATTCCTGGATCCTCTCCTCATACCACCTAGTTTCCACGTCAATCAACTGACTTTGCCAAAGCTAACCAAGAGAAAAGAAGGCCATCAAACTGAAATATTAATTGTTCGTTTCTAGCCAGGTTTCCAATTTCTCATTTTGAATCTGCTGTGTAGAGACCCTAGTCAACATATACCTTAAGTGACATCCAGCCTAATTTGTTTCCCATGCTGGCGCTCTGCTTTCTAGCTTCTTTCTCTTTCTTGCCCCATGGGGACTCTATATGAATCTGTCATTTGAATCTCATAGAGAAAAACAGCACATACTTGAAATCCCATCATCAACCTTCCCAAATTGTTCACAAACACAGGAGCCAAGGGCTCAAAGCACTGTTCCCCTCCTCATTCTGTGCAGCCATCACATGTGTTTTGAATGACCATGTATTCTAAAAGATCCTGGGCAAAAGAGAACTAATACAAATACAAACATTTTGGAGGACCCTGGCATTTCTTTTCAAATTACTTTTATCAAAGGAAAGCTTCAGGTTACTAGGAAATTTCACACCTTTAGCTACTGTTCAATAAGACTTTAACTTTTACTCACTCAATGGGCCTTGGCAAGTCATTTCCCTCTCCGTTTACAGAGCTCCTGTTTTCCCCACAGGGCAGTAGGCTGTGGTCATCTGCAGTTCCCCAAAGACTCATGCCCTAAAATAGATTCTGAAATTTTTATTAACGAAACATCTATTTTGCAAATCTAGCCTTCCGTATTCTCTCTGTATCATGCTTTCCAACGCAGCGTCTATCAGAAAAACCATTAATATGGGTTGTGCTTACGCAACACAATTTGATGTTCCAGCAAGAACTAGTGATTTGTTACACACATTACACCATTGTAATAGACCTTTTCAGATTTTAAACGTGTGGAGGGCAAAAAGTCACCAATATTTGCATGAGACTATGAATTCTTTGTAATCCCAAGCTGTAGCCTGGTGTCGAGTATAGAATAGCTGCACAATAAAAGTTTATGAAAGAAATGGCATACTTTGGGTTATAAATCTCTGTGTTTATAATGGGTTCAATGATTTTAAAATGATAGAATTTAGAGATTTGAGGGAAGAAGTGCTGGAAGAGGAGAAAATGTTTTCCATTTGCTCTTTGGCCAAGTGTCAGCCACTCGTTTCACGTCTCCCTGTTTCGCTTAGGATTCTTAGTCACCAGCAACAGCAAGTGATTCTAGGTGACAGGAGCAGAGAAGGAATGAATTGAAAGTGTACTAGGTAGCTCACAGAATAGCTGGGAAGACTAGAGAAGGAGGCTTGGGCAATGGGCAGGACCAAAGGTGAACTACCAGCCTGAAAGAATTCTCTAATGCTGTGTCTTCAAGATCCTCGGCAGGTGCACGGGCCTGACTGAGCCCAGACTGCACGCCATGTCATAGCTTCTGGGGGATCTGGAGAAGTAAGTGTCTGGCATTTCTCAGCTTCTATGATGGGCCGTGGCTCTGACTCTAACTGTGGCTCATAATATGAGAATTTCCCAAAGATGGAAAGTGGTTCACAAATTGGGCATTCAAAAAAACATGGAAGAGTCTGTTACACTTCCACCTGGACAAAATCCCAGGGTCCAGCATTCTGAATTTCTTCTGTCCTTTGACTTTTTGCTCTACCTGCTTTGACAGTCCTCAACACTGAGTAAACACAACCACTGCATGTCATGGGTCTTAGGCTGTTAACAACCACCGAGGAAGTACATACAATTGGCCATGAGTCTTTTACCTATTCCTAGTAAACTCAATTAGTACAATGGTTCTAAATCCATTCCTAACCCCTACCTCACTCCGTAGAAATTTAATTCTGTACATGTATTCAGAGAAATGTGCCCCAAGAGATTCCAATGCATACTTCTGGTTGGGAACTATGTCTTAATTTTTCCCATTTCTGACAGCTTCTTTACAAACCATTTCTATTTTTCTGAAGTCCCCCCACCCCCACCCCATCAGTCTCAACCAATGACACTTCCATCAGCTGGGAAAACTAGGCCATCTGATACTGACTCATTCGACTTCTCTCTCCTTCAACTCAAAATTTCTTCTTGTCTTTACCCATTCCATACTTCTGCGCTGCTTCATTTCCCCTTCTTTCCAATGCTAAACTGGCCACCAGTGCTCATCTGGATGCCCTCTGAGCTAAACTGAGACTTAACTCGTGTCTTCCCTTTTGACTATGTTTTTGGCCTCACTTCTCTGATGTCTAATTCCCTTTGGTCCTGAAACATTCAAGTCTCACCTGACCTAACAACCTTTCACCTGCTGCTCCCCATAGACCACCTTCCTGTTCCCTCCACCATCTTCATCTTTCACATCCAAAGATCTGAAAGGAGTGATTTGTACTCATGGATTATTCTTCCTCAGCTCTCACTCATTCTCAACTCTCTGTAATCGCTTCCAGGCTCACACTCCACACACACTGCTCTCCCAATGTCACCCATGGCTTCCTGACTGCCCTAGCCAATGGCTTCTTCTTAGTCTGCATCCTTCTTGACACTTGGAAGCATCTGACCCTGTTGAAAACCGCTTTCCTCCTTTTGTGACTTTTGGTACAAACGTTTCTCCTGATTTTTCCTTCTACTTCTCAGGTGATACGTTCTCAGCCCCCTTTCCTGGGTTTTCTCCTCTTCTTGTTCTGTTTTCTCGCCATGGCCATTCTCATTTCTTTAGCTGTAACTTCAAAGTAGGTGACACCCAGATATGTGTCCCCAGTCCTGAGTCTTCTATCCTGAGATTCAGAGCTTTCCAACTGGTCACTTCCAAAGGGTGCCCAGGCCCTTCTCCCACCCCGTCTGCTCCTGCATGACTCCTTTTTAAAAAAATTATTGTGATAAAATATACATAACATAAAATTTACCATTTAAACCACTTTTAAGTGTACAGTTCAGTGACATTAAGTCCCTTCACATTGTTGTGCTCCTCTATTCCTTTTTAATATCTATATAGCTGGGGGACAAGGACCGTTTCTTGTTCTCTTGTTTTTCGCTGGGGCCTGCCCCACCTCCATCTCACTGGCCAAGCCTGGTGCTGAGTGTTTCAGAACATGAGCTCTGGACAGTCTGAGCTGAGTGGAAATCCCAGCTCTATGACTCTGGCTGAGTCCCTCAAGCGCACTGGCCTCACTTTCCTCATCTTGTTATTCTCTACTCTTGTTGGGTACATAGGCACTCTGCTGAAGTAATAACAGCTTTGTTTATTTGTGAGCAAACAACCCGCAAAGGACTTGTCCTGCTGGAGCTGATGCTGGAAGAGAGGAGAAAAGGAAGCCTTTGAAGAAAGCGATGGGTCTCAGCCAGAAAGAAGTTCTGGATATACTTGGAGTGGGATGTTGAATCTGGCATCGGCTCGGATTTACGACACAAACAGCTCCACCTACACCTGTTATGAAAGAGAAGGGAAAACAATCAACCAGTCAAACTGTTTTGGTGACTGCTTCCATCTGCAGGCACAATAGTGATTGCCCATCAAGTGACAGGTAAAACCTCCATGGGAGTTGAAAAGGCAATTTAGTTGAATTGCAAGAATTTGCCTAGGAAAGAGGTGATTTGGAGAAATTTGATGTGATACCTTTTAAAATGCCTTAAGTCTTGCGTTTATGGACTCATCAAGGATCTAAAGAGGTCACAATGGGTTTTTTTCTTTTTTTTGGTGTTTATTTCATTTTATGGGCAAAGTTTCCTTATGAATGTTGGGAATTTAACAGGTCCCTCCTGAATGTAAAGAAGTATTTTGTTTGTTTTTAGCATTTATTTCCTTTTGAACCGGGTCTTATCCATCTCTCATATCCAGCCCAGGGCCTGTCACAAAAGACGTACTTGAGTACTGTCTCCTGTTTGGGTAAAGAATAGATGAAGTATTTTTTGGGACCAGATCCTACTTTTCCTTTCAGAGACTGTGTACAGAAGTAAAGACACTCACAGTTTCAGCCCAGAATGTCACAGGATAATGATAAGAACAGATTGCCCTTTACAAAGCCCCTTTATATACTTTATCTCATTCATCACTGATGACACTCGGTTTTTCAGATGAGGAAACTGAGGTTCAGAGTGGTTAAGCGAATTGCCCATAGTTTCACAGCTAATAAGTTGTCAAGCCCAGCCTAGCCGAGCACCTAGGACTGCAAACTCGCTGTCCTTCTAAGCCACGTTTCGCCTCACAGAGGGGTGGGCTGTTTCGAGCTGTACTCTGCCCTCAGCCGACTTAATGTTTGACGACCCTGCCATCTAAGGCACGTGGGCGAGGCAGCCCTTCCCTATGGGAAATGTCCCCACGTGGAGCCCAAGCATCTGGCATGAGCTAGAAGGCGACCAGAACACTCGGTGGCTGCAGCCCACACGTAACGGCACATGCCTGAGGCCCTTCGGGTGGCATCTGCTCCGCCGAGGCGCCACCTCGCCCTGCTCAGGCCCAGCAAGCGCCTGTCCACCCAGGCGCGCCATCCGTGCGCCCCAGTGGCTCGCCGTGCGCCCGCGCCCCAGTTGCCCACCCGCACGCGCGCCGCCCGTCGGTGCCTTGGGGACCCCTCCCCCCGCGGCGACAGCCCCGGCATCTCCTGCCCGCCTAGAGCCGCCCGGGGCCGCGGTCGCGGTCCCCCACACCCCAGGGGCGGAGCGAGACGCCGAGACGTCAGGGCGGAGGACGAGCACGGGGCCAGCGCGCCCTCCCGGCAGCTGCCCGCGGCCCACGTCTCCGACTGGCGCGGCCGGCGGCGGCCGGGAGATGCAGTTAGCGGCGGCGCTGGGGCGCAGCCAGGCGGCGGGGCGGGCGGGGGCCAGAGACTGAGCCCGGGCGAGCCAGCCGGGGCGAGCCAGCGGTGCGCACAGCTCTGTCCGCCACCCCCGGAGCGGACCCCCCGCCCGTTCTCGACTCTCCCCGGGGTTCTAGCAAAGCCCCCCGGTGCCCATCAATTTCCTTGGGTGACTACAGCGTGTGTTTTGTTTTTCTTTCTTCCTTCCCCTCCCTGTGTGCCCTTCTCCAGGATGGCAGAAGCGGAATTGCACAAGGAAAGGCTGCAAGCCATAGCAGTAAGTCCACTTTCATTTTATTTTCTGGCTTTATTGTCTGGGATGAGAAGGGGACCCCGAGTGTTTGGGGGCCATCGACATTCCAGCACAGTAGCCGCAGGACATGTGTTTTGGGGATAAAAGTCTGTCAAGGATCAGCTACGGTGCTTTTTCTTTCATACATCTGGAGATAGAAAGCCCCAGGGCGCGCTTTGGGTTGGGGATGTGAATGTGGAAGATTGGCTTCGAAATAAGATGCTTGCTACTGGGCTTTGGGAAAGACTAAACAGACGCGTGGGGGGCGATTCCTGGAATATTATCACCCAGTGCTCAGTAATACTCTGACTTCATACAGTGGAGAACGGAGAGAACGGTGACCGGGAGGGTGGCTGCCATCCTTTCTGCGGAAGCCGTTGGTCTGCTAAGTGGAAAAGCATCAGTTAGCTCCACTGCCAGCCACGCGGTAGAACCTCCTCCCCGAAACCGGGAGTGTTAATTTCCCCCATTCTATTTGATGTTGACAAGGGCACTGGCGCAAACCACCACCCTGGAGGGGTCTGAGGACTTTTCATAATAACTGGGTCCTGGGAATAATATTCCAAGAGAGCGTCCTTCTTATGGGTGTGGATAATCTGAAAACCTGTTTTCAGCATACAAAGGAGCAACGAGTTCTGGCCAAGTTTATATGCACTTTCAGAAAAGTGTACCTATTTGCATCTTGGGTCTAAAAGAGAACTTTCTGAGACTGCCTAGATGTGAGCAATCTTGCCACAGTGTTGCCAATGATCCACAGATGTGGTATTTTTATTGGAGCCACCACAGCTGGCTTATATATTTCCTTTGCTGATGAGGGCATGATTACTGCTGTGTATGAAACAGTAACAATTAAAAGAGAAGGTCTGTTAACATACTGGCGTAAAAAACTCTCTAGACATTCTTCTAGCTGAGTTTTGTTTTTTTAGTTTTTTGTCCACGAGTTCCCTGGAAATACATATAAATTTGTTGGAGAAATAGCACGTAATGTTTTGGAAGCAAAGTGTATTAAAGTGTTTTCAAAATCTTTTGGACAGATTCTTTATTGGGAAAATGCACACAGGCCCTTCTTTTTTAAGAAGCATTTGATGTGGTGTTCATGGCTCTGAGACCCTCTTTATCAAAGTCTTCACATCTTAAATGTCTTGGAGACGGTACCACCGAAGTGAGAGAGATGTTTGTTGGTGAGGTTGAAATGCTATGGTTTTTTTGCTTATCAGGCAATCTTTGAACTTGGTCCTCAGGACTCAGGAAGGCTGTTTTTTCCTTTCTTTCCTTTTCCCTCTATGCATGTGTATTTTGATGGCTAATGAAGTTGTTTATGGTTTCTAAAGTTAGTGGCAAGGCAGTGTGGCCAGTATGTCATGAACTTGGTAAGAATGGAGATATTCAGTTATTGGTGCCATGGAGCTGGTGGGTGTTTTATATAAACTGAATAATAGGCTGCTTTAACCGTCCGTGAAGTGGCTGCTCCAGAGAACGTTCAGTTGCTCCCGTTGGCTGCTGCCGAAGTTTCCAACAGTTGTCACATTTTCTGCCTTTGCATGACCAGCTTTGCTGGATGCCTGAGGAACAGCTGAGCCCCATGAAAGGATTTGCTTTCTGAACGGGGAGCCAGTGGCAGCTAACACTGGGGCCACCCCTTTCCAAGAGGGCTTGGATAATCCCAGCAGGGGCCAAGTGGATTTGCAAGAAAGATCTAGCGGGTCTTTGGGAATTCTCTTGAATGTATAAGCGGAATAAACACAAATACTCGTGCCTATTCAGTTATGGAATGGAGTTTGTCCTGTACCTGGGAACATGTTGATGATTCTCATGAACGTACCAGCCTCAATGAATATGTACGTTGTTATCAGTTCAGATTTTCTAATTGCATGTGTGTGTGTGTGTGTGTGTGTGTGTGTGTGTGTGAGAGAGAGAGAGAGAGAGAGAGAGAGAGAGAGAGAGAGAGAGGGAGAGAGAGAAAAGAGACAAGGAGAGGAAGGGAGGGCTTGTGACCACATCAGTAAATAGTTCTATGCCATGGTTTGGCCTAGTGCACACTCTCCAAATTCGGCAAACCCTGCCTCTCTCTGACACCTTCCTAGAGTTCTCAGGGGACCCTCAGGAGCTCAAAGCCTGCCGCCAGAGTCTAGCACTCCTGAAGTCTCTCTGGAGATGTGAAGGAGGAAGAGAACAAGTCTTCACCTCTTCACCCACTTGGCTTCCTCTCTGAGAGGCAGAGCAGATAGATGGGGATTCTAGTCTGGAGGGTCCTGGACAATCTTTAGTCTGGGCCTCGGTTCCTTCATCTGTAAAATGGGCTCATGAGTTCTACCTCATGGGCTGGTTGTAGGGTTTAGATATGATGCAGGCAAAGCCTCTGGCCTGCAGTTGTCATTAGATGATGTTGAGGCAGAGCCCCCAATTCCTGTCTACACTGCTGCCTTGTCCTGTGAGGGTTAGAGGCAACATTTCTGAAGCAGAAAGAGTCTCAACAGCCTTTTTCATCCTTTCCTTTAACTCTGGCTGGAGGCCAGGGCTCTGCCCAGCGGCCGTTTTCCCAGCTGCTTCAGACACAGGTGCAGAGAGGTCACTTGAAGATTCATCCATCCATTCATTCAGCAGGTATTTACAGAGTGCCTCCTCTAGGAAGGTACTGGCAACACCAAAAAGTCGGTGTCCCCAAGTGTCAGCCATCAGAGGGAAGACTTTACCCTTTGCACACTTAAGTTTTGAAAGGGAATATGTCCTGTGACCTATTTATCACATGATCACCTGTGGGAGTTTTTCCCCCTAACAGAATGAAGGACTCAGAAACTATGGCGCTTTAATTGAATCTTCCAGCTGAGTCCAGAGACGAATCAATGAGGAAAGATGAATCTCCTCCTATTTCGTGCCAAAAGAAGAGCAAATCCATCTTTGACAACTGTCTCTACTTCCAGATGCTTCTTTCATCTACAGGGACACTCTCAAAGATGTAATTTTAGAAGATACCAAAATGCCACTGTAGCAGAATGAATGTGAATAATTCCAGGGAATAATAATACAGTTGCCATTTATTGAACATTATCTATTCAGCCAGGTACTGTGTAATGTGCTTTTTTTTTTTTAACCTCAAGTTGTTAATAATCTAATGGAAAAAAATAGGAAAATGCGTAAACAATTACTCTACAGTGCCAGGAGTACTTATGCAAATGAGCACACACGTGGAGCAGGTGAACCCACCCTGAGGAGTTGTGGACCCTTTCCCCAGAGAGGAGACAGTTGAGCTGTCCTGATGATTGGGTAAAAAAAAAATAAAATGACACAGTAACCTTCCCAGTTAGCAGAAGGTGTTTATTTATTTGTTTGTTGTTAGTTTCTTTATTATTTATTTGGAACACTTAGAATAAGAAAGGGAAAGCCAAAAGCATGAAGAGGTTAAGTCAGTAGCTAAAGCACCAACTCAGTAATAAGAGTGAAGTGCATTTTCACACGTATTGTGTCATTTAATCCTAATAACAAGCAGATGAGGTTGGGGCTACTATAGTATACATATTTTATAAGTAAAGAACACAACAGTAACAGATGGTGTCAAAGCCAGGCTCTAAACGCACACTGCAGGGCACTGGAGCTCCTATATTGACTACTGCCCTGAATTGCTTCCCCTAAGATGGTGGCAACATCTCATGCTTTCTCCATGAGCGTGCTGTGCACGTGGTTCCAGCAGCCTCAGTGTGAGCCAACGAGGGAGAAGCAGACTGATTCGGTAGCTCTGGGAAAGGCCGAGACAAACCAAGAGGCCCACATTCTTTCGAGAGTCTTCCAAGCTGGTTTCAGTGCATGGAAACATGGATGTAAGTTCCAACTGAATGAGTAGCATTCCCTTGGGGAAGAAGCCACTGCATCTCAAGGGAAACCAACCTTGGGGGAGGATGTTATATCGGCACATCCGAGAGGAGTAGAGTCTTCCTTAGGCACGTGTGGCAATAACTAAACATTACGGAGGTGACCTTGGGCAAAAGCTCTCAGAGCCATATGGACAGGCCTCAGGCCAGCCCCAGGGACCAACATGAGTGTGTTCACATGTGCTGAAACATGATAGCACATCTGGCCTTGGAGGGGTACTCCGACATAGGCTGGAGCTGCCACTAGGATCCTGCTGAGCTAGAGTCCTGGGTGGGGAGGAGAGGGAAGAGCTTGGGGGTATGCGGGCCTGGACATGCCTCTGTGGAATCTGCCCTTTTTGGGATCTCACTTTGGGCCCCTCCTCCTCTTGAGACTCTCACCCAGAGCATGCAGTTAGTGGACTGTGGCTCCCACCTGATTCCATTCTGTGTCCTGAGAGGGCCTGGATGTAGGTGGGTAGCTTAGGCTGCCTCTGCCCTCTCTTGCAGAGAAATACTTTGGCGTTTCCTTGGGTTCATTTCTCAATGCCTCTTCTTGCCTTGGAGTGATAAGGCCTTGACTACCACAGTTGGAGTGTGGGACCAGGGGCCAAGGAGGCGAATCAGGCTGCTTTTGACCCAGAGTGCTTAGGTGGCCTGCAGAGCCTGGGCAAAAGTCCTTGCTGCAATTTAGCTGTGATTCAGCCCAGCCCAGCTTCCCAGGTCAGGGATCCCTCAGAGGGTTTGGAGACCCAAACGCAAGCCCTATAGTAACAAACCCTGTGATTCTTGTGGGGACCATCCCTGTACATGTCCTTGTGAACCTCTGTCATTGGCAGGCAACTGGAAAAGGACTGGAGAATTGAAGATCCTGGCCATTCATTTGCTATCTTCTTCCGTCTCAGAGACATGCATGATACCCTGCTTCTGAAATCCCAAGTTAGGCCTAAAAAATGATTTGCTCAGGACATTGGTGGCTGAGTCTGCAGGGCCACCCAGCAGATAGCTGCCACTTTGGGCCCGTTCAAGGTCATTGCTAGGTCTGGGAGTGCCAAGGTAGGCCTTACACAAACATGTGCAAGGGTCAAACACCTCTCTGGGCACCTTTTCGTACTTCTGAGTCATTTCAGGCTTTAGCCT